AAAGTCAACTAGTTTTTCAATCTTCATCTTTTAGAAATAGATTATAGTTATATTTAAAAAGACTTCATTAGGCCCGGCGTGGTGGCTCACGCCTGTGATCCTAGCTCTCTGGGAGGCCAAGTGGGTTGCTGTTATTTGTTGCTCGAAGGTCAGGAGTTTGAAACCAGCCTGAGCAAGAGTGAGACCCCCATCTCTACTATAAATAGAAAGAAATTAATTGGCCAACTAATCTATATAGAAAAAATTAGCCGGGCATGGTGTCGCATGCCTGTATCCCAGCTACTCGGAGGCTGAGGCAGTAGGATTGCTTGAGCCAGGAGTTTGAGGTTGCTGTGAGCTAGGCTGATGCCATGGCACTCACTCTAGCCTGGGCAACAAAGCAAGACTCTGTCTCAAAAAAAATAAAATAAAAAGACTTCATTAAAAAAAAGTTTCATGATGTTTATATAAGAAAAATTCCCCTAGCAAAAGTAATTATTTGTAATTGACACAAAGGATTGGAACCCATTTCTATCTGAATGTGCCTACGCGGTCCACTTTCTATCTTAAGCCATAAATCAAGGTACAATATACTAAATTTAATTAAGCTTCAAGGTAATCTAGTTTATCTCACTAAAAAACAACCCATGAAAATTGAATTATGGCAATTTAGAATTCTCTCTCACTGGCCCCTCCATAGCAAATACAATTACTGTAAAAGATTTACCTCTACTTTTTGTCACACACAAAACATTATTTTCTTTCAGTTGGTTGTTTTAAGACAATTCAAATAATGATTATTAGGTATTAGCTTCAATATGTGATATTTGCCATTTTAATAAAATGTTTGTACATGATATATCTAGAAGTATATACAACCACAACGTTTTACAGTGAGGTTTCCCTGGATGATATGATTTCAGGTTTTCATTTCTTATTACCTGTAATTTTAAATTTTTTACAACAAATGTGTACTACCTATATAAATTTTCTTCTGTTATTTAAAAAGAAAATCCAGGCCGGGCACGGTGGCTCACACCTGTAATCCTAGCACTCTGGGAGGCTGAGGCAGGTGGATTCCTCGAGGTCAGGAGTTCGAAACCAGCCTGAGCAAGAGCTAGACGAGACCCCCGCCCCCCTCTCTACTATAAATAGAAAGAAATTAACTGGCCAATTAACATATATAGAAAAAATCAGCCGGGCATGGTGGTTCATGCCTGTAGTCCCAGGTACTTGGGAGGCTGAGGCAGAGGGATTGCTTGAGCCCAGGAGTTTGAGGTTGCTGTGAACTAGGCTGACGCCACGGCACTCACTAGCCTGGGCAACAAGGTGAGACTCTGTCTCAAAAAAATAAAAGAAAAGAAAAAAAAGAAAATCCAAAAGCCTGAGAACTTGGTATGGGTGAATAATACAATCTAAGAATCTTGAAAGGTTATGTTTGATTTTCCAAAGACAAAACAATAAGTTAAAAATCTGATTTTTGTATTTGGAAAATATAACCTTTCACACATTACTGTCAAGAATTCAAAAGCTCTTTAGCTTTAAAAATAACTTGGTTTCCAAATGCTATAAAGAACACAATTATTGGGTCAACTGAAAACTGGAATATAAACAGTAGATTTGAACCAAGTATAGTATCAATGTTAAATTTCCTTAGGTTGATAACCACACTAAGGTTATGTAAGACAATGTCCTTGGCTCTTAGAAAATACAGACTTAAATTCTCAGGGATAAAGGAGATGATGTATGCAACTTATTCTCAGATAGTTCAGCAAAAAAACACAATAATGATAATAGAATGAATGATAAAGCAAATGCTGAGTAGGGGAAACGTTAACCATTGGTGAATCAGGTAAAGAGTATGAGAGTTGTTTGTACAATTTTTGCATTTTTATAAGCTTGAAGTTATTTCTAAGTAAAACAATTTTAATTGAAAAAAGTAACAAAAAAGAAAATCAACATATCCAAAAGTATGCTAATACTTAAGATCATGCTGGACCAACTTCAAGCAAGACTTTATTGAGATAAACATAGGAACATATCGAAAATTTATGCCAATAAAAAAACAAGGACCAACTTTAAGCAAGACTTTAAATCAGCACTGCCCAACAGAAATAGAATGTGAGCCACAAATGTACTATTGTTTTCTAGTAGTCACATTAGTGTTGTAGAAACAGGCAAAATGAATTTTAATGTATTTTATTTAGCCCAATGTCTGAAGTATTATTGAACTGATGTTCAATGTAATCAATACAAAAATCAAGATTTAAAATTTTTTTCATACTAATTCTTCAAAATCTGGTGTGTATTTTACTTATGGCACATCTCAATTCAGAAGATAAATTTTCATAGAAAATATTTTATCTACATTTAGATTTTATAAATGTACAGTTAAAAAAGTAGATAATCACAACCAAGTTGTTTCGAATAGTTAAAAATTTTCCAATCGCTGATTCAGTTTTTAAATGGCTATGGGACAACCCAGCTTTAGCTAATAACACAACAAATTCTTTCTACAAAAGATAAAATTTAGTTTATCACATTTATCAAAAGATTTTAAAACATACTCATGATAAAATAATGACTGATATTCCCCTATCAGAAGCATTACCAAGGTATCATCCCAAGGTACAATGAGACAATCCCATACCACCTCTTAGAAGTACCAACAGAAAGCTTTCTCTCCTCTGCCTCAGTCATCATCCTTTGAGTTTCCTGAAAACTGGCAATCAAATGACCCTCTTACATTCAAATGTAACAGAATGAACTCAAGTTCTGGTTGTCAGAAGCCTAAATATCCACTGTATAGTGTGCAGGGTTTCAGCACAAATACGGTCTTATGATTCCCAAATGGGAGCACCCACACAACAGAACTTGTCTCAGAATTTAAGAGAGGAAGTGACCCTGAGCACGGGGTGGGGATGGGGTTCTTTTTAAACAGGTGTAAGAGATTAATTCAGTCAACACCAAGCAACATTAAGTATTTGCCAATCAATAATTCTGTGCCAAGCAACTTGATCAGGGATTTGGCCAGAATCCCTCTGGCTAATCTTAATAACAGCCTTCCCAAAGACATCTTGATTTAGTCCTTTACCTGACAGCAAATAAACAAAATCAAATTATATAGATATGAATACTGCCAGCTTGACAAAAGGAAAGGCCACTTGAAAGATAATCTTGGAAGTGTGAGCAAAAATATTAATTCAATTCCCAAGAACAGAAGTCACCATAAAACCAATTTTTTCCAATGTTTAATTCCTACTGTTTAGCTAATCTTTTCAACTGAACAAGGTTATGGCAATCAAAATCAATCCACAAGTCCTGACATTTTTTCCCTCTGCACAAGTGTTACTATATTCTTTAAAACTGACTAATCCTTTATTGTGAATTCACTAGTGCCTGAAATTACTCATACCACTGGGAAGTGAGATGAAAATATGAACAATGGTTTCTGACACTTGATCCCCTAGTGATGTCCCATCTTCCATACAAAATCCTTTCTTCTTTCCACCCCACTCACCTAGCCGTTTTCACGTGCCATCATACTGGGGATCACAAATGTAAGCCAAACTATTGTGTGGAGCATAAATAATCTTAACATAAAATCTTTTAGTGTGTAGATAAATATTAACTATTTTTGTTTAAAGCCTAACTCCATTTTCCCACTCACAGAGTCATAAGGCTTTAAGCAGGATGAACACCAAGGTTTTAAGCCGTTCCATCAGAAGTTGTTTTCTTACTAGAAATAGAAATAAACATTCTATAGAAGTGAACACACTCTAACTTAAGGTTTTTATTAGCAAAGTTCTCAGTTAACGCCTATTTAATCAAATCCAGTCTTCAGGTCTCTCTGAAATTAGCTAAGCACACAGAAACCAATCGTGATTTTAAAAATAGCGAAGAGGGATAAGAAATAAACCACACAAGAAACACACGTCCCAGTCCAACAGTTCAGGCACTATTTTGAGGAGCCAAGTAAAAATAAAGTTCCACGTCTTTCTCAGCGACAGCAGGGTTCCTCCAAGGTGGCACGACTGCAGAATCCACACCGACCCCGGCCACCCAGCCGCTTCCGCGGCCGAACTCCCGCCAACTGCCCGGCCAGCCGGGCCACCTGACCACCTCGCAGCACAAAAATGTCTACAAGGTTACCTCCAGGCAGAACTACTGAAATTCTGACACCAAAAAAGTACAATTTACCAAAAAAAAAAAAAAAGAGTTATTACTAGGTATTCATGGGTTCCTTCGCTACTCGCTGAAACCTCCCACAAAAAGGGCAACACAAACACCAGACAGGGGTTTCCCCTATTTTATTAGACTCAGGCAAAGAGCTATATTTAAAAATTCCCGTCCAAGGCCCGATGCCAGAGCGGCGGCCCCGGCCCCCGGGCGGCAGAGGGAGCAGACACCCCGCAGCCGGCGCGGGAGCGCTCTCACGGGGCTCGCCAGCGTCGCCGCCACTCGCCAAGGGCCGGAGCCGCGAAGCCGCATCCCCACAGCCAAGTCCACCTGGCCAACAAAGGCGGCGCCTGCCGCTCGCAGGTGGGAAGCCCGGGAGCAGAGGCCCTGCCGCCGCAGGAGAGTGCGGGGTCCGCGCGGGGCCGCCCCCGAAGGGAACGGAGCTGCGGACCCAGGCGGGGCCGCGAGGCGCACGGCAGAGGCTCGCGTTGTCCCGGGGGAGACAGCGGGCGCCCGGGCGGCGCGGGGTCCCCGGAGGATGTGGCGGCGCCGCGGGCGGGATGGGAGCTGGGGCGGCGGGGCGGCCCGCAGCCCCCGCGCCCCGCAGCCCCGACGCCTTTCATTTGGCCTCTGCGGCGGCGGAGGCAGCCCGAGCTCCAGCGCTAAGCACTGCGCCAAGCGGGGGCGGGCGGGGGAGGGCGCGCCAGACCCGCCGCAGCGCCGGACCCCCCCCTGCGTTGCGCCCCCCAGCCCGCCCCGCCGCGGACCCCGCTGCCCGCCCTCAGGCCGCGCTCCCTCCGCCGGCGAAGCAGACGGCGCTCCGGCGCTCGCCCGGTCCCCACCTCGACATAGCCGGCCAGCGCCGCGACGGGCGCCGTGAGCCCGACCAGCAGCAGAACGAGGAGCCGGCCCGTGGCCGCGGCGGCCGCGGTCCCGGTGGCCGCCATCCCTTCCCGGGTCGCTCTAGCGCACGGTTCTCGAGCTCACACACAGAATTATCGCTTTTCCCACCGCGACCCAGAAGCATCTGAAGCCCGTTCGCCGCCGCCCCGGGGGTTTTACACCAACCGGAACTGACTTCACAAAACCACGCCCTCCTTCTGCGGCGTCCAGTACCTGTCCGCAGAACTTCCCCAAGACACCGCCTCCTGTTCAGCCCAGGCCCAATCAGGGGATGGAAAAGCCCACTCCTCCCGCCCAGCCCAGCCGCGCGCCCCCGCCCGCCCCGCCCCCGGCCGCGGGCGGCCCCGCCCCCACTCTGGACCCCGGAGCCGCGAGGCGCTGGGGTGTGCGTGGGGCGTGTGGGGCGCGTGCGGAGGAAGGCGGCTCGGCAGCGGCGGGGGCCTGCTCCGGCTCCGGCCCCGGCCCGGCCCGGTTGAGTCCGCGCTGCGCTCTCCGTCACCCTGCAGCCTCCTAACAAGGGCACGCCCCGCTCCCCCGCCCCTGCGGGGTATTTTTCAGATTCCTTTGGGTACCGCCCTCTTTTTGGTTCTGGAAATGGTTTTATTAAAAACAGGATGAATTGTGAAGAGTCCCTGGACGGTCGGCCAAGAGCCGTCCCCAGAGGCAGGGGAGGGACGAAATGAGGCAGCCGTCTTCCTGCCCGACCCCTGCGCAGGGCGCGCCCCTCTCGCGCCGCTCCTCCCGGCCGGCTGCGCCCCCTCCTCGCCTCCACCCCGGCAGTGTTTCCACACTGTCGACCTCCTGTCCTCAGGCCTCGTCGCCGCCCTGCCGCCCCAGCGGCCGCCCACGTCAGGTGTAGCTGCCTCCCGCGGAGACCGGGGGCGCGGAGACCACGCGGACCTGAAACCCAGGCCCCCTTCCTCCTGTGTTTCAGCAAAGAATCTCGTCTCTTTCTTCAGTTCAGGAACACTAGCAAGAGACCTGCCTCTGTGCCGCCCCGTGCTGCTCCGCGCATTTCCACTTCACCGGAGAGCGTTCTGCTGCCCATTTCACGACCGGACGGCCGCACCACCGCCGCGGCTTTGTCTCCTCTCGGTGGGCTGTGACTTACTGCCGCCGGGGGACCCGGGCCGGTCCTGCAGGCTCGGCTAAGTAGAGCACAGGGTCCCTACCCGCAGGAGACTGAAGGAGAAAGGAAGAGACAGTGTACACAGAGTGGACAGAGAGGGAGAGTGACGAGAAACGTTGGATCTTCCAGCCTTATCCTGCACAACTCCACCACATGCCCAGTTCCCTGTGGTTAAACGGCTCTGCCCATTCCGCAAAGACGACAGGCACCTTTCCATTTCAGAGCCCTTCCTAATACTGTTCCTGTGCCTGCAGTGCCCTCTCCCCGACATCTGCCTGTTGAAAACATTTTAACTATTCCTCTGCTTGATTGGATGTAATGCCATCTACTTCTGAGGGCTCAGAGGGCTGTTTCTGAATATGGCACTTGCTCCCCTCTCCCCAACTTGTTTCCATACTTGTCTTACACCACTGACTAGACTTGAGTGTGTCATGTTGCAGTGCCCCCTCACAGTGGAAGCCTCGACAAATGTGTGCCCAGTGCTGCTAACTCAGTTATCTTGGGTGCTGGTCCTTGTTCTGGAACTGGCATGAAATTAGCTCTTGCTATGGACCGAATTTTGCCCCTCCCCCCAAATGTATACACTGAAGCCCTACCCCTCAATGTGATGGTATTTGTAACCAGGCGTTTGGGAAGTAATTAGGTTTAGATGAGGTCATGGGTTGGGGGGTCATAAATGGGATTAGCGCCCTTATCAGCAGAGACACCAGAGAGCGTCCTGCTCTCATTCTCTCTCTCTGTCTCTCTCTGTCTCTGTCTCTCTCTCTCTCTCTTCTCTCTCTCTCTCTCTCTCTGTCACACACACACACACACACACACAGAGCAAGAAGGTAGCCATCTGCGAATCAGGAAAAAAGCCATCACCATGGGACCAAATCAGCACCTTGATCTTGAATGTCCCAGCCTTCAGAACTGTGAGAAATAAATTCCTGTTGTTTAAGCCTCCCAGGATACGGTATTTTGTTACAGCAGCCCAAGCGGACTGATACAGTTGTGTAATGATGAGCAAGTTCCCACATCACTTTCCTTTTCTGTCAAGTGTGAATATTAAAACCTGTCTTCACCAATTTCTGTGATTGAGTGAAAAACGAACATGCAGTAGTGAAAAACATGAAGAGACTTAAATATAAGGAGCAGAAGGAGGGTAAAGCAACATATTACCAAGTGCAAGTTGATATGAAAAGCACAGTGAAATAATATCAGTAACTGCAGAATCCTAGTTCGTTATGGGCCCTAGGTGAGTCACGTAGCCCCCTGGGACCTATTTGCTCACCTATAAAACCAGGGACTTGAATCAGGCTCTGTAAATTTCTATGAATCTAAATGCTCAGAGAAAAACAAATGAAATATCTTAGTTCAGAGCAGTGGTGTGAATATTCATGCTTTTCAAGACTGAGCTCATTAGAGCTCATGGGATGGGACAAGGAATACAGGAAAATTGTTTAGGGGTCTTCAATCTAAAATTAGATCTGGCCCGGCGTGGTGGCTCACGCCTGTAATCCTAGCACTCGGGGGCCCAGGCGGGCGGATTGCTCGAGGTCAGGAGTTTGAAACCAGCCTGAGCAGAGCGAGACCTGTCTCTACTATAAATAGAAAGAAATTAATTGGCCAACTAATATATCTACAATTAGCCGGCCATGGTGGCATGCCTGTAGTCCCGCTACTCGGGAGCGAGGCAGAAGATTACTTGAGCCCAGGAGTTTGAGGTTGCTGTGAGCTAGGCTGACGCCACGGCATCACTAAGCCTGGGCAACAAGTGAGACTCTGTCTCAAAATAAATAAATAAATAAAATTAGATCTTGAAAAAACTTTATTTGCATTTTCAGGTCATCCAAGGATCATTACTAAGAGTTACTCCCCATCTATCATATTTAGACTTTAAAATGTTACTTTCTATTAAATGACACTGACAGACTAGGCTCAGTGGCTCACACCTGTGACCCCAGCACTTTGGGAGGCTAAGGTGGAGGATTGCTTAAGCCCCAAAGTTCAAGAACAGCCTGGACAGTAATATTGAGACTCGTTTCTATGAACAATTTAAAAATTACCAGATGTGGTGATGTCACCTATAGCCTAGCTACTTTGAGGCTGAGGCAGGAGGATCGCTTGAGCCTAGGAGTTTGAGGTTACAGTGAGCTATTATCATGCCGCTGTAGTCCAGCCTGGGTGACAGAGCGAGACCCTGTCTCTAAATAAATAAATAAATAACACTGACAGGAGCATACCTAGTCTTGCAAATCTCAAACGATAAATTTTCATACCAAATATACTCATGTCAGTGGACCAAGGTTTAAGAGTACTATGTTTTTATTTTATCTTTTGTACACAAAAGTAAAGGTTCCTAAATAACCTCCTGTTTTTTCCTACCTTCTAAGAATCAGACTTCTCCTAAAAAATTCTCTCCCATGTACACTTAAGATATGTGCATTTGCTTGTTAAGAAAAAAGCAATGTTTTGTTCCCACAAGTATACTTACATGAGCAGCACCCTCTCATTCATTTGATGTTTATTTACCAACATCTATTCAGGGTGAGTGACCTGGCCTAGGATAGATGCTCCTAAATCAGGATGCTTTTCAGAATCAACAAGTTAATTTTAAAAGGCAAATTCCTAAGCCCCAACCTCAGAAATTCTAAATCTCTAGGCTAGGGTGACCCAAGGAAATTTGTATATATTTTAAAGCTCTCTAGGGAATTCTAATCCACTAGTACTTATGAGAACCACTGCTTTAAAGCAGTGGTTGCTCAATTCTTGAATATCGGTCCAGGAAAAAAAAATTTAGTTGGAGTCAGTAATTTAAATTACCAGTTTTGGCCGGGCGTGGTGGCTCACACCTGTAATCCTAGCACTCTGGGAGGCCGAGGGGGCGGATGCTCGAGGTCAGGAGTTCAAAACCAGCCTGAGCAAGAGCAGACCCGTCTCTACTATAAATAGAAAGAAATTAATTGGCCAACTAAATATAAGAAAAAATTAGCTGGGCATGGTGACGCATGCCTGTAGCCCAGCTACTTGGGAGGCTGAGGCAGTAGGATTGCTTGACCCAGGAGTTTGAGGTGCTATGAGCTAGGCTGACACCACAGCACTCACTGTAGCCTGAGCAACAAAGTGAGACTCTGTCTCAAATAAATAAATAAATAAAACAAAATAAAATAAAATTACCAGGTTTTTTTAGTTTTCTAAATAAAAGCATTAAATTAAAACATGACTGTATTATCACCACCATTTCTTTAATTATTTTTTTGAGACAGAGTCTAACTCTGCTGCCCCAGCTGGAGTACAGTGGCGTCATCATAGCTTACTGCAAACTCAAACTCTTGGGCTCAAGGAATCCTCCTGCGTCAGCCTCCCAAGTAGCTGGGACTACAGGTGTGTGCCACCACATCCAGCTAATTTTTTCTATTTTTGGTAGAGGTGGAGGGGGGTCTTCCTCTTGCTCAGGCTGGTCTTGAAGTCCTGTCCTCAAGCGATCCTCCTGCCTCGGCCTCCCAGAGTGCTAGGATTACAGGCATGAGCCACTGCACCCAACTACCACCAATTCTTTAAAGAAAGAACATTTAACAACAAAAAAAAGTCTGAACAGTCATAAATTTTACATTTACAAATTGGGTAAATGTAACCTTTTGACAACTTACTACATTGCCCTTGTTTTTCTCTTACAAATCAAAGTGGTGAATACTTTGTAATTGAATGGTCCTAGTTTAATACAGGTGTTGGAACCATTGAGGTATGGGAAATAAGTATGAATCAGTTATATGCCTTGGCCTGTGACTGGTAGCCTTTAAATATCTCCTTCCTTCTACCTAGATTGCCTTTCCTCCCTCATCTACGGCAGACTTAGTATTTAAAGACTTGGTTCAAGTATCACCTGCTCATGCAAGTTCTCTGATTTTCCCTCTCTTTTTCAAGACTGAGTTTGGTGCACCTCCTTTGTGCTCCCCCAAGCATTTTGTACACACCTCTGCCATACAGTTTGTAAACCAAATATTAGTCATTTATTTTCTTTACTGTTTCCTTAATTATATCATGAGTCCCTGGAGGGGAGGAACCATGTCTTGTTCTTGTTCA